CTTCTCTCTTCCTTCTCTCTCTCTCATTTTTTTTTTATTTATCTAGGATTAAATCTAGGTTAAATACTAATTTTGGTCCCTCAACTTTATAGAGTTGCATTTTTTTGGTCCCTAAACTATTTTTTTGCATTTTTTGATCCCACAACTCTAAGAGTTACACAATTTTGATTATTCCGACAATTTTGATTATTCCGTCAATTTGAAGCGTTAACTCTGTCCACGTGACATTTTTTATATTTTTTTTATGACATGGAGAAAATAACTTAAACATGTGCTGATATGGACAAAATATGATGCCACATCATATCTTCACGAATTAAAAAGGTCAAAACCTCTCAAATGGGTCTCACATTACCTGCAAAGAACCAATAAAGGGATACAATGTCTATGAACCCTAACGCTCTCTTATCTCCAGTCCATCTGCAAAATCGATCTTAACTCATATCTTCTTCCCTGAATGTTCTCTTATCTCCACTCCATCAAATTAACGCCTCAATAAACAATGTCAATCAAACCCTAATCAAATTCTAATATAAATGCAATCAAATTGTAAATCAACTCCTAAATTTATCAAGTACTGGGAATGAATGAAAAAACATGGTGAACTTGACAATCCCAACTCTAAAGAAAAATGAAAATCAACAGAATCTAGTTCTAAACCCAACAGTTGGGCTTCTTTAATTTGAACCCAACAGTTGGGCTTCTTTGAACTCAACAAATTTGAGTTTTGTCAAACCCAGTCGATTTGGGTTCCATCGAACCTAGCAGCTAGGTTCTATGGAACCCAATAGAGTTGAGTTTTGTCAAACTAGCAAAGCTAGGTTCGGTGGAATCCAATCGATCTGGGTTCCACCGAACCCAACAATCGGGTTTGATGGAACCTAGCAGATCTAATTAATGTTAACTGTTCTAGTTAATATTAAGCTGTTAACAAACACTAGTAGTTGTAAACAAACATTCTAAGTAATTTTTCAGAGTTTCAACTAGATTACATGTAATACCCCAAAATTTTGTGATATTTTAGCATTTAAGTAAGGGTTTTTGTGAGAGAAAATATTGTTTTGGGGCTTAATAATCGAAATTTCAAAGTTCAGGGACTTAAAAGAGAAAGTGAATTGGATAAGGATGATTGATTTTTTCTCCTTTTCCTCTTTCTTCTCCAGCCGGATTCTACTCTTCTTCTTCCCGCTGCAACCTGGAAAAAAAAA